AGCCTCCTCTGCACCCTGGTGACATACCCCTACTCCAAGGCCCTGCATGTGTGGGTGGTTGTGGTGGAGCGGGAAGAGGTTTCCTAACTATAACTAATTACTTTTTCAAAGTAATTTGCCCAACACTTTGCAATAAATACTATAATATGATATGATGTATAAAGGTATTAATGTAGAAAGAAATTGTTTTCTGACAACATTAGATTTGGCTGGAATTGAGAATTATTCTTGCAACTTATTGAAAGTTGTGTCCATCCATCCATTCATCATCTTCCACTTATCCAGTCAAGGATACTGTATCCCAACTGCAAATCTGTAACAGGGGTTAAATTGTGTACAGTTTAAAAAGAAGTTCTTTAGGTTCTTTGTACTTACCATTTTCAGTTTTAAAGAAAATTAATATTACACAGTACTTAGACTTAATTTGAGCAGTTTTATCTCACTACTGAAAGTAGTGTGTATAGTAGTAGGATATTGCAGGGTCTTCACCTTACAACATAAAGTGCCTTGAGGCAACTGCTGTTGTCGCCCCAAGGCAGGTCTGCCATCGCGCTTGCTTTTTCTAGTCACAGGTCAAAAGAAGTTCAGTTCATAGAGTGATGCAATCGTGCATCTGAGAAACGGTAGAAAGTTCAAGCTCGTTTGCACAGTTTTCTGAAAAGAACAATTTGTGAACTTATGAATTTGTGCTTATTTGTGTCGACTGCTGCCATCATGAGAACAGTTTAACTCTGACAGCTGAGAATAAAGGCAAAGCTTTGAAGTATCATTTAAGCCTCACCTATACCGATCTAGATAATGACTCAAAAATGTTGAATGTGGATAAATGTGACGGAAAGCTTCCTTTTCTGGGCTCCCCTCTTAGCCTATCATGAAGGGCTCTCTGGGAAAGTTTACATTTATTTCTCTCTACATGTCTCTCTTAGGTCTTGTAGCCAGGTTGAGATATCCTGTTGGAAAACAAGACAAATCAGCTCCATCCACTGCTGGCTTCAGCTATGGTGAGTCTTTACGATGAACTGTGTATCTTTAAACAAATAATGCTCTTTCTTTTTTACCCTTTTTGCTCTTTATTGAACTAACATTAAAAATTAACCATTGCTTGATTGATGCTAGCTTGAGTACAGACTAGAGTTTACTCAAGAACGACAAATATCATGAACAATGTCTTGGTAGGAGTTATCGTGTGCTCTTGTAATGTTTGACATTTTTTCCTTTCAGAAAAGTGGGAGATTGACCCCAATGAACTAACCTTCATGAAGGAGCTGGGCTGCGGTCAGTTTGGAGTAGTGAGGCTCGGCAAGTGGAGAGCTCAACACAAAGTGGCCATCAAGGCGTTAAAGGAGGGAGCCATGTATGAGGAAGACTTCATTGAGGAGGCCAAGGTTATGATGTAAGTAAGGAAAAGGCCAAAGTCATACTGGATGAGGAAATGGTGTGAGAAAGAGGGATTTTTGCAGGTCTATTCAAAAACAGCACAGATGAAGTCGTCCTTCACCTGTTCTACCACCTGGTGGAGTTTAAAAAGTCCTACAGCAATATTTCACCTACACCTTATCTATGTGCCTCCATAGTTTAGGTTTACAAATTCACCTCATAAGTGAAAGATTCCAGAACAAGTAGAGAAATGATGAAGCAATCAAATATGACAAAGGAGGAACTGAAATCTGTAACCGACTCTTCACATTTGAGCCTCTTTGACCAATAAATATTTGAAACTGCTGCTTGGAAAATGTCATTTCCATTTAACAAAACCAACTCCCGTCTCCAGGAAACTGTCCCACCCCAAACTGGTACAGTTGTATGGGGTGTGCAGCCAGCAGCGGCCAATCTACATTGTCACGGAGTTCATGGAGCAGGGCTGCCTGTTGAACTACCTCAGGCAGCGGCGGGGCAGCTTTAACCAGGGGTGCTTGCTGAGTATCTGTTTGGATGTCTGCGAGGGCATGGCACACCTGGAAGCCAATGGCTTCATCCACAGGGACTTGGTAACTTCAAGCTTGGCTTATCGTTGGGAAACTGTTAAATCCATCACTAAGTAAATTGAGCTGCTAAGTACTTTTAGTCATATGTTTTGATTCCATCCTCTTCTGTTGTTCTTCGTTTTCTAAAGGCAGCCAGAAACTGTCTGGTAAACGACTCTCTAGTGGTGAAAGTGTCTGACTTTGGCATGACCAGGTACAAGTTTCCCTCCAGTTATAAATGACTCGCATCAAGTCAGCAGATAGAAAATAAAAGCGTCTGATATCACTAAATGGTTTAAATGCAGATACGTGTTAGATGATCAGTACACCAGCTCATCAGGCGCCAAGTTCCCTGTGAAGTGGTCACCTCCTGAAGTCTTTAACTTTTGCAAATACAGCAGCAAGTCGGACGTCTGGTCATACGGTGAGCTGGAACATTTTTCCACTTAGTTTAACAGACAGAAATTGTCTCAGCACTCATAAAAAAAATCGCCTCTCTGTGTTTGGGTCTCCAGGTGTGTTGATGTGGGAGGTCTTCACAGAGGGTCGGATGCCATTTGAGCAAAGCCCCAACCATGAGGTGGTGACATTAGTTACACAGGGTCATCGCCTGTACAGGCCCAAAATGGCCAAGCCTGCCATCTATGACACCATGCAGATGTGTTGGTATGAGGTGAGTAAAAAATGGGAAGTAAATTCTTCATATGAGGCTCGTTTCTTATAATTTTTTATTTTTTAAATGTATTTTTTAGCTGTTATTTTTATATTGATAGTATGCCCCCCTTTAGACTCACCACTGTTCACTTCCATGTAAAATAGGATGTCTGTCATCAGCCTTCAGCAAGCTGTATAATTTAAACATGATATCAGACCATGTTAAAGGTTCTTCTGCATATTTTTATACAACATCTGAAAGCTTACTGCAGATTTTTCTCTTCGTAAAACAAACGGTGGTGGATGGAGTAACGGCTCCGCCTTTTTGCACTTCCGGTGTGTAAACAGACTCCGGCTCCACGTTAAACTGTGGCAGTGTCATCATCGCTGCTGTTGTGTTATGAGTGTTAATGTTTAAAGCTGGAGGCTGTGTGGGCTTAATGTTGTCAAATTTTTTATTCACACATTGCTCTGAAATACGTTTGTATTGCAGGTCTGTTTTTAGTCACGAATGTGGGTGAAACACTCACGTTTCCATGGTGACAATGGCATGCTACCAAGCCTTGCCCTAAACGAAGCATCAAAACAAAGATTTAGTGCTTAGAATTTTTTATAATCATCTTACTCTGTGAATAGTTGCAGCTCTAGATTACAATAACACTTTACCTTGGAACACATTGCATGAAACACAAAAATCATAATGCGATAATTTGTTTTGTTTTGCTTTTTGACCTCTATTGACCTCTTTAGCTCAGCTGATTCTAACAGTGGTTTACTAATGGAGAAGTAGGAGCGCCTCGTTGCCCTGGGATTATGTGTCAATCATTGTTATTAAAATATACAACAACGCAAACATGAATGACTAGAACAAGAAAAACTCCCAAATTTTTTTTAACTGAGTTTTTTGGTACATGCACAAAAGCTGAACATTGACTCATTTAAAAATGCTTTTTCATATGGATAATTGGAAATGTCTCGTGATACGAGAACCCATCCTCTTACATGATATAAACATGTAAAAGTCCTGTATTCAAATATCTTTTGTCTTTTCTCTCTCTCTGCAGAGGACAGAGGACCGTCCCTCATTCGCCAATCTTTGCGTAATGATCTCCGAAGCTCTGGAGGACGACGAGGCAACTCCAAACTGACCAATCAGCTGCTCACACCCTCCATGGCTGCCATTCAGGAGCCACATCTAAAATGCCATGCAATGGGGCTTTATTGTGATTGGAATGGACCGATGAACTAAATGGGGAGGAAGGACCAATCGTACCAGTTCTAAACTCATTCTCCGCTCACTAAATCACATCAGCTCACAGCCATGAAGACCTGCACCAGCAGTACTAAAGACAAAAGTTCACATCACATGTTGGTGGTATTTCAAGATGACTCACAGGGATGAACTGACAGCAACAATGAAGACACATAACGACAGGCTCTGCATGTACGATGCATTATTTGCTGACATGTTTCCTCCCACTCAGACACGAACAGGAAGCCGTTTGGTCAGAGACCTGTCAGCAAGAAAAAGCCACTGAAAGTTTTTTTTTTTCAAGCTCAAGTTTCCATTAACTTTATACTCATTTGTGTTGCTCTGAAATCCATCAGGTCTACAGCAACCCATCTAGTGTCAATGTTGGGTTTGTTCTGACCCATGCTAAATAAACAAACTTTTCAAATAGTGAATCTCATTATATTTGTTCTGGTATAAGCTTTTCCATTGTTTCCTAAATAAAATAGTGGATTCTAATGAAACCCTGACCCTAACAGTAGAGGGGTCACCATTGAACTAACCTTTTAAAGTCAAAATATGGAACGTTTGCTTTATAAAAACTGCTCTCCCAAGTCTTTGAAATTCAAATCACAGGATTGTGTTTCGTGTTGGGGCTCAGGTTGGGGTGATGATGACTGATGACCTAGACCTCACAGAGTTAAGGGAGTTACCCGTGTGTGCTCTTTATGTTGTGTACTTCCCCATCACCTCCCACACATAATATGTATAATGCAATGCATAATATTAGAGTACTGTAGAAAATAAATAAATAAATAAATAATTGTGTTACTTTTACAACTAAAAAATATAATAAAAGTTATACCATGTCAACATGCTGCAAGGTCAGTTTTCATTCTGTGATAACAAACATTGTATTTAGACATTTAGACTTTGACACAAGTTTGACATCAACGTCTTCAGAATAACATTGATGACAAATTGCTGACAGTGCATACTCTTCTCATAATAAAACTGCTGAACTACTCCATATTATTCGTATTTACGCAACCGAGGAAGCGTTCCACAGCCATTTTCACGTGGCAGGAGTTTCAGTGATAATCTTGAGAGTGGTAAGTTAAGTCTTCTTGCTGATTATTCAGTGTATTTGTCCTTTTTTAATATTGTGTGTGTATTACATTTAAAATGTAATCTTTAATCCTCTTGAATTTTTGCAGCTTTTTATATTTATGTGGACAAAGAATGAAATCATTCACCAATGCTAGAGAATTATATTTCAAAGCATTTACAAACTTTTGTGACGGCATTTTAGCTCATTGTCATGGTCGCCAAAGAATGAATGAGAAATGCAAAATCAGAACAAAGTATTTTATGGGTATAAATATTTAACTATTAAATATATAAAAATTTAACTTAAGGTAAATCATATACATGTAATGTTAAAATGCATATATACTTCAAATTATCATTCAAATGAAAATGTATTAAATTGAACACTGATGAAGTTGGTCTGAACAAAGAATTTACCTAATTAGAATATGTTGAACAGGAACAGATTATTAGTGTTTTGAAAACAACACATTCGGATGACAGATGAATATTTAATATTTATGAAGAAACATGAACTGACTTGAGGTGGTGTTTGTAGGCTGTATGCTCGCTATGTGACTTCCACCTAAATACTAAGAAAGTAACTGAGCATTGAGCGTCTCCATTAGTTACAGTTGCTATGCTTGTCAACATTTGAATCGTGGACTATTTATATATACTATTTATATAGTGCTTTTAAACACAGACATTCAACTTTCATGAAAAAGAAACTAGCCAATTTTGAAAGTGATGGCAGAAACACTTTGTAAAAATGTTGGGACAGGAGCAAAAATAAATCCTGGAAAAGTAAGTGGAAAATGAAACCGTAGCAGAAGCGTTTTGCAAATAATAAGATTAACTGGCAGCAAGTCAGTAACATGTTCGGGTATAAAAACATAAGCTTAGAGAGGCAGTGCTTCAGAGTAGTTCACCAATCTACAAAAAAGTAACTCTACAAAGTGTGGACAGTTTTCCTCATCTGAACATTGCCAAGACTTTAAATACCTCATCATGTATAGTGCAAAATATCAAAAGATTCAGAGAATCTGGAGAAATCTCTCTGCAGAAGGGAGAAGGCTGAAAATCAGTACTGGATGCCTGTGAGCATCGTGCCCTCAGGCGGCACCGCATTAAAGAACAGGCATGAATGTGGCATAGAAATAACTGCATGAGCTCAGGAACATTTTCACAAATCATTTTCTGGTAACACAGGTCAGTGCGCCGACCATAAATGCAAATCTCCTTCATTCAAATATAAACCATATATGATTTTAAAAAAGCCACCATCTTCTCATCTAAAAGGGTCTGAAGCAAAGTGGAAAACTGTTCTGTGGACAATGAATTGAAACTCTATATATAATTTGAAAAACACTGACCCTGTAACCTCTAAAGAGCAGAGAGACCATTCGCCTTGCTATCAGACAGTTCCAAAGCCTACAGCTCTGATGGATACCAATTGGTATCCAGTGATGTATTAGTGCCTATGGAATTGGCAGCTTGCACATCTGGAAAGGCATCAACAATGGTGAAAGATATATACAGGTCAGATAAATATCCACTCCCATTCAGATGTCTTTTTTAGGGAAGGTCTTGCATATTTCAGCAAAAAGGCACATTACATCTATTACAACAGCATGGCTTCACAGTAGAAGAGTCTGGGTGCTGAATTGGCCTGCTTGCAGTCCAGATCTTCTGGGAACTGAAAAGATTTGGAGTATCATAAAATGAAAAATGTGGCAAAGAAGACCCTGGACTGCTGAGCAGCTAAAATCCAACATCAGACAAGACAGTGAGATAACATTACTCTCCCCAAATTCCAATAATTGTTGTCCTCAGTTCGCAGAATTGACAGGGAAGTAAATAAAAGTTTTTTTGAAACATGCTGCTGCCATCAAATTCAAAATGAGTTAATATTTTTTTAATTGTGATTTTCTTTCCCTCTTTAAACATTTGATATGTTTCTATGTTATATTTAGAATAAATCACCAAGTCACTTCGCCAGTTTAGGAATGAAATGACGTAGGACCTTCAAACTGATACCACAGGTGTATCTATTAAAAATCTCGGACGAGTTTGAATCTCATTGACCTTGATGTCACAGTATCAGAGGTGAGAGTAAGTTTTCTGAAACTCTTGTGAAAGCGATAAGGTGACAAAAGATGTTGAAATTGTTACCACAGGTGTGTCTACTGGTGCTTTATAAGCCACCTGTAACCACATATTAAAACAGTACCTTATTCTATGCAAGTAGGCAGTATACTTTAGAATGTTTTCTGCCAGCAATGAATGACTTAATATCCGTCATCATAACTGTTTATTTCACTTGCTTACACCACCCTTCAACTTCTTTTTAAGCCAAAGCACACTCTCTGAGAAAGACCTACTGTGTACTTACAGGCCTTCCAAGAAAGGAAGGCCTGTAAGTACACAGTCTGCAAATGCAGAGAATTAGAATCACAATGGCTCATTAAATGCAAGGTCACTGCAGCTTGATGTTATCGTTTCCACTTATGCAACCCTGGTACATATCTGTTGTAGAATCAAGACCTCCTGTTGTCATTATGTGTAGGCTAGCATTACTCCTCTACATAGGTTGTTCAGTCTTGTCCAAAAAATTTTAAGGTGTATTGCTGATGAGTTTTTTTGTTTTTTCATCTGACCACAGGACACATCTCAGTTGAGGATGTCATCAATACAAACCTGTTTCCTGTCCATCCCTGCCCTGCTCTTCCTAGTCCTTCCAATAGATCCCACTTTAGCTGAAGTGGTCACATCAGTATCAATCTGTAAACAATTTCTTCTTGAGGAAACTCCCCCTCAGGTCCCTGGTGTCTTGGAAAGTGGAAATATCCTGAACCAGAACCAGTACAAGCCTATTTGCCAGACTTATAAGAACAAGAGAAGGTTTTTAACTCTCTATGACATCAAGAACAAGATTCCAGTATTTTCTGCATACAAGTACATTGGAGACGTAGAAATAAAGCGACCCCGCAGTCATTGGCAGATAGAGCCACAGGTAGGTCTCACAGACTGTAAATCAAACTTTTATTTATATCTTACAATGTGCTACTGTACAGGGTGGGCCATTTATATGGATACACC